GTGTCACCTGGGCGGAGCCACAACTGAGCTCATCCTGAGCCGAGCTTTCCACCTGACCGACTGACACACACACACACACACACACACACACACACACACACACACACACACACACACACACACACACACACACACACACACACACACACAGATCTTCCACTGATGCATGATGGGAGTTGTTTTTAAAGTTTGATTTGTAACTTATTCTTTTTTTATGTTTTTGTAAAATAATTGATCATTTGTAATATTTCAAAAGTATTTTATGGTTTTTAAATGTACAGGTCACATGTTCATGCACTTTACTGACACTGGGTGTTGTAGTTTAAAACTCTTTAATTGGACTACATTATAGACACTGTTTAGTTTGTAGCTGTTTTTTGTATGCCCAGTGGGATTCTGGGATTTGTAGTTCTTTTCTTGGTAACACCTGATGATGTATTATATTAACTATATAGGTGAAATCAATAAAATACAGATCTGTAAGAACTTATACGCAGACTGGAAGAAGAAGACAAGAAGAACAACTTTGTGTTTAAAGGAGAAATAAATCTCACTCTTTAGTTCCTATTGAATAATAACAGGATTATTAACAGTGCTAACCAGCTGGCTAAGCTACACCTCTTTCATCCTTTCCTATACTTAGTTATGTTATGCTATGACTTTTTCTTCCCTTGAACCTCGTTAATATTTAATTGGAACCAAATATTTAAATATTTAAGCGTCTAAAATGATTCAGAAACACAGATATGTTCTGACAAACATTCAGGATATTCTGAAGGTTTTTGTTTAATACTTATTGTTGTATTTTGGAAGAAGCTGTAGATTGTTTCTGAGTGTCGACCGACATGTTCTTGTTGTATAAACTGAGAGTTTTCATTACAGTTAATGAATAAATTCTTCTCTCACTTCGCTGTATTGTCCTCATTAGTTTTTTTTTTTCAGACAACAAGAGAATGAATGAAAAAAAATATGAGCCAATCATATTTTATATCTGTTTGTCTCATTGATGAGTTTTATTAGTTTGAACGAAGAGCTCTGTGGTACAGAATACAGATGATCAATAAACTGGACAGGAGACGAGCAGGAACTGATCAGTCTGCTGTGCTGGGATCAGATCATTGTTCAGGTGACAGTGGGCGGAGCCTGTTTAACTGCGCTGGCTGTGTTTCTGGCAGATGTAGCGATACTTGTTGGAGCAGTTGATGTTGTTGAGGCGTCCGTCGTTGTGAAGATGAGCGCAGGAGTCATCACCGGGGTCGCAACTGTAAGCGACCCAATCGTCAGGCTTACCGGGTCTCCACCGCCTGAAAACACCAGATAGACCTACCTTTATCTTTATCCTCAGTCTATTAGCATATTTATTGTAGCATTGTCTGCAGTTTGTCTGAAGGCCAGGTTGTAAGACACAGGCTACCAACCATCAGAAACACCTCTGTGTGCACCCACTGCTTTATGAGACTACTGAAAGTGCCACAGGCTGCTGGTTAATACTCAACACACAGACCATGTGTCAGCTGTTTCCTTTCTGACTGACAATGAGGAACTATAGTCACATTTATAGAGCAGTTCATTAATTAATGAGAGAGACATAATACTGAGTAAATGCTATGTAGTCCCTCATTACTTCACCATCATCTTACAGTTACTTCTCTTTGTAGCAACATCAACATACATATTACCCAGCAAGCATCACCCAACAAAAAGAAAGATCAGCTGCCACCAGAGTGACCCGCCCCATTTGTTTGCCAAGAAAAAGGGTTGGAGGAAGGAGGAAACAAGTGAACTCTGTTTTTGTCTGAATGAGGTGAACTGACTTAATGAACTTAATGAAAATAGAAATCTGTACAAACTGCAAAGATGTGACACAACGAACCGAATCAGACCTGAAGCACTGCGATGCTCTGACCTTCAGACAGACCAAAAATCACATCGTCACAAGTTTTATAATTAATTCTTGTGACTCATCACATTCACAATATCAGTCATAAATAATTCCAATATGATTGTTATGCTCTTTTGTAATAAAATAAATGTTTTACTGACTTTTGCATTCTGCTTTTCTCTGGATTAGTTTCTGTTATTTATTTCTGTTGTCGGGTACTTTCCTGTCCACCATGTTGTCTTCAATGTGTTTTGGGGAGTGGTCTATGTTCTGGATTAATTTAAGGTGCTGGAGATGGAGACTAGAGGAAGTTCAGTGCTGTCATAGACTGATCAGGATCCATATCTGGGCTTGGTGTTGAGCCAGTTCAGGCCTCTAGTGGAGATATGGGATGGGAACCTCTTTGGGTTTTGGAACGACCTGTGAGGATGAGGACATTTCACATCGTCGTCACTAATGAGCAGTTTCTCATTTATCTTCCAGAACAGGTTCCTGTGTGATATTCAGGAGATCAGGAGTAAAATGTTGTTACATTAAAAACACACAGAACAGAAGAGCACCACAACTGTTGGCTCAACACTTACGAGGACTGTTTCCTAACCCGGGTCTGTTGTGATCGATCCCGCACTGCAGCCATCAAAGAGGGGAAGATGTTTCTTCACATCTGAACTTTTCTGTTGTCTGCCTGTGAAATCTACGTAGTGTCTGCAATGTGCAGGGAAAAGTCGACATGAAGACAAGAAGAAAAGTGAATCAGTGACTGGGTCCCAGTCTGTGACTCAAACATTCACAGTCAGTGCGACAGTCGCCTTCCAAAGGCTTCACACCCAACAGTTTCCCTGTCTCCTTGTTGTGACTCCATTTCCTCCTCTTGTGTGGTGATTTGCATTATATTCGGCCTAATTATGCAGAGTTTGTGACTTTGTGGTGACTCACTGTTTCTCTGTTGGGTCTAGTGAACAGCAACCTGCTCTTGACCCACATGTTGTACAGTTTGACTGACAAACAGCCTTCAGTGCCTTCTTCACAGCCATTGGTTAAAAACACTGATTTTAGAAAAGCCAATCACAGTGTGGGACAATGTCTCAATAAAGGTTATTGTTATTAATAAACCTTAGACGACACGTCTGAGCAGGTTCCTCCCTGGGGGTGGAGTCGGGTTGTCATGGAGATTCAGTCAGGTCCCGAGCTGTGGCAGCCTCAGCCAGTTACTATGGATGTAAAGTTCTTATGGGGGCAGCAGTGTACTCCCAGGGGAGTAACAGTGAATGTACTTGAGCCGTGTGCAGCTCTCAAAGTGCAGTCACACTCATGGACTCAATAATATCAGAATAGATACTCAGAAATACAATGCAGTGTGTGTATCACGAGGGAGGAGAAGGAGGGTTGTTATGGCAAACATGTAAAGTAGGCAAACAAAGTGGTGTCATTTGTCAGTCCTGTCCCTGAATGCACCGTCCTTTATGATGTTGTGTATAAACAACTAACAGGACAGTACTGGACCTGGTCTCATCTTCTTGTCCTGGTTTGCACTCATATGGCTGATGAGTTGTAGTCTATGGATTATTGAGTTTTGGAAGACAAACTGAATTCATTTAAAGCCGAACCGGCCTGACCACTTACACACACATAGCAACTAATCAGAGTCCAGGAAGAAACAGGCTGCTGCTCACAGACACAGTTTGATCACTTATTTCACGTTATCAAAATGCATTTTTCACTTTTCGTATCATTTCACACAATTGAGTCTCCGCTGACCGACCTTAGCTAAACAAACTCAGACTGTGTCACAATCCTTCATCCTTTCCTGCACGTCCAAAACTCATCAAATGTGGCATCTACTTTAAATGACACAGCTGTGGGCGGCTGTGGCTCAGAGGTAAAGCTAATCCACTAATTGGGATGTTGCTGGTTCGATCCCCGGCTCCTCTCGCTCTCGCTGCATGTCGCAGTGTCCTTGAGCAAGACACTGAACCCCGATTTGCTCCTGATACTGTGCATCGGTGTATGAGTGTGTGTGAATGGGGTTTGTGTGGCATGTAGCACATTGAGTGGTTGAAAGAGTAGAAGAGCCCTATATAAGCACAGTCCATTGACCAGTTACCTCATGAAAATGTCCCTAAGCTATAATGCTGGAGGTCAGGAAAGGCAAGTGGCTCCATTCAAGTCCAATACTTGAGTAAAAGTCATGTTGTATTTTTCCACCTGTTGTTTATCAGAAACCATCTGCTGTATCTTTTCATACAGATTGTTTCCTGGAAAATACCTGCTCAGCTGAATGTAACCACACCCTCCCTCCCCTCCCCCAGTGCTCAGGTAATAGGCAGCATCCACCTGTACACAGCAACAGAAGATCAATCAGTTGCTGCTGTAACAACCTACAGTCTGTGTTATAAACCTGAGTGCAGTTTTATCATCTGATGAATCTTCAAACTACTGGACTTCCTGGATTTATTACAGTGGACATGGTTTTTCATCCAGACAATTAAAGGATTATTTGAGGATTCTGGAAACTTTTAGAAAAGAAGAAAGTCTCGTTTGAGCAGGTATCTACATTTATTACATATAATGGTGTTTTTATTTCTCTGTAGTAATGAATGCAATGTTGGCCTGTGTCCTAAATAATGGTCAGGTCATTAAATGTTCAGTTTCAGTGCCATATGACAGATTAAGGGTAATAATGAGATAAATACAGTACTAATGCTGTTACTATCGACAGTCACCTACAATAATTATTCATTAATAATTACTTTATCTGTTTTAAGGACTAAACTTGATAAAAACTCAGATAGAAATTCCAGGTTCAGGTCAGGTTGATCGCCTGGATAATATTTAATGTACAGACCCGGAAATTGGTGCGTGTTGTTAATATCGTACGACCGACGTCCCCTGACCTATAGCCACTCCCTCTCATACACCAGAAGGACTCGCTGCCAGGAAACAGGCGGAATGGCTCCATTCAAATTCTCGATCCGTGTTTAAACTCCTGTTCATTATAATTTTTTTTTCCCGGTTGCACAAGGTGAGCAATGTTTGTGTGTGTGTGTGTGTGTGTGTGTGTGTGTGTGTGTGTGTGTGTGTGTGTGTGTGTGGATCTGACTACCATTTTACTTCACTACGCTGACTAACCTAACTAGCCTAGCCTAGCCTAGCCTAGCCTAGCCTAGCCTAGCTTACTCGCAACCTGTCACAGCCACATTAGCTGTTGAGTGATGTTTCAGTTGCACAGAGCATTTTTCTGCTACAGGTGAATAGTTACAGCAGCTTATTTCAGCCAACAGGCAGTGGGAACTTTAGATAGCCAGAGTAGGCCTCGGCACCGTTAGCCTCGCTGGCAGTTGAGGCTGTTGAACGCTGTACGGAGGCTCCATTATCGGCCTTGCATTCACCCCTCCTGCCCTGTTGGTGGCCAGAAAATACCCCCACGTTAGAGTAGAAGACATGCTCTATCCTTTTTTACTGCTGTCAATGGATTTTTCTGTTATTATTAACTATTTATTGCCTTTGTTAGAAAAAAAATGAAGGGGGCCCCCCCCACCCCAACTGTTCAGACTTTCTCTAGATGTGATATTTTATGATGTGCAGGTGGGACAGTGAGCACCAGATGATTAACATGACTCACAGTGCTCCATCACCACTAGTCGCGTCGTGTGTGTGTGGTGGCGAGCCGCACACACACACACACACACACACACACCTGGTCAGAGGTCAGCAAGAGAGCGGTGGGGAGACAACACAACCACGCCACGCAAACAAAAGCCAATAAGAGTATTTTATTAATGAAATTGAGTAACAGATGTACAGATGAGGAAAATACACAGTGAGCAGAATCCAGTTTATTCAGGTAAAGACTCGCGAGGACACTTTAAAGAGGAGAGCCCAGACAGCGATCAATTATATTATTATTATTATTATTATTATTATTATTATTAAGTTGTATAGATTCAAATATGATTGTTGCACAAGTGCAGGTGGGAGAGATCATTTCATTAATTCATACTACATGTCAAAATGTCGTTTGTTGGTTTTTAGGGCAACAGTGATTCAGTGAAACCTGGAGATGATGTCACTCTGAATTGTACAGCTGGTGATGACTCCATCAGAGCTGTAGAGTGGACCAGACCTGACCTGGAGCCCCAGAGTACGTCCTCTATTACAGTGATAGACACTTAGATCCAACCAACCAACATCTATCCTTTAAGGGTCGGGTGGATCTGACAGACAGAGAGATGAAGGGTGGAAACGTGTCTTTACTTCTAAACAACGTGATCATCAGTGACAGAGGAACATACGAGTGTCGAGTTGCTACAGGTGGTCAAACAACACAGACATCACTGTCAGGAAGACAATCAGAACCATCCAACTGGAGGTCACAGCCTCAGGTGAGTTAGTGGAGTTCAGGGTGATTCTCAGAGTCAAACATGAGGGATATAGAAGAAGAAATGGATTCTGTTCAGTCATTTCCTGACTAATGTGTATTTTCATCTTCAGGTTCCAACAGCAAAAACACCATGGATGGAGACTACAAAGACACAAACAACAGGGATGGAAACAAACACATTGGACTGATAGTTGGACTGATAGCTTTCGGTCTGATTTGTTCAGCTGTTGTTGTTGTTGGAATGGTTCTCTAGAAGAAAAAGAAGTAAATCAGAACCAGCTGCTGATGAAGCAGTGGGTGATCAGAACACAGACCTACCTGAACAATCAGATACAACATAGCCTGCTGTTTGAAGCTCGTGTTCAGTCCTCTGAACTGCCACAGACCTGAACAATGTCTCTGCTGTTTGAACGTTCAGTGCAACCTAATAATGTCGTAATAATCAGGGTTTGTGTACCCGTTGATCCTGGGAGCTGTATTGTCTGGAGCACTCAGCTCCTGGTAGGGTCTCCCAAGGCAAACTGGTCCCAGGAAAGGGTCAGGACTAAAAGCAATTCAAACATTTAATGTATTTCAATGAGCCAGAGATTGACTCTAACAGCAGAATAAGTAACACAGAGACGTATCGACAGTCTGAAATACTTTTCCAGTTAATTCTCCTAAATTCCCATTAATTCCCATAATTTCCCATTAATTCCCATAATTCCCATTAATTCCCATAATTCCCATTAATTCCCATTAAAGTTTCCAAATTGGAATGTTTCCAAAATTCCCCAGCTTATCTTTCCATGTAAAGTTTCCGGAAATTTACCGTAAATTTACTGGAAAATGTCCGCCCCTTTGCAACCCTACTCATATGTTAATGTTTTCTTATCTTTGATTGCGTTTGGTGTTGAAAGTCCCCTCCAGACACGTCGGTACTATATCACAATCAGTACTGGGGCCAATCATTTTTTAAGTGATCAGTATCAGCTATATTGAGCCAGATCTGATGCTTTAAGTCAGCTGTCACACTGGTGTTTTTACTGGCAAAGTTTTCATGCACAGTGCAGCCGTCGTCAACTCTCTGCTCCGCTCAGCCACCACAGAGGAGAGACAGGCAGCGAGGAAGCCATACATTTACCACACCACTTCAAGGGCATCAAAATTCCCGAGAACAAAAAGCAACTAAGTTGTTTTTTTGATTTGCATTATTCACAGCACAAACACAAGCTGGCTTTTGTACATATTTCATTAC